CAGAGGCAGTGAGAGGATTCACCAGAAACAGAGTGGGGAGCAGAACAGGCAGATGGATGAAGTACACTGCTGAGGGGAGCAGCGGGCGAGCCAGGAGAGGTGTGCTGTGCCATGTGGTCACCTCCAGGGTAGGCGGTGATTGAACTTATGTGGAAGTGGCTTTAGCTTCTTAGTGCTGTGCTTTAACCCACTGCACCACAAGGCAGGGCCCCTGACATTAATTTTTAATTCAATTCAGTAATAGCTTAAAAGCATGGTTGCTGGATTATAAAAAAATTATTTATTTTTGTAAGAAGGTATCAAAATCTCTTCCAAAGTGGTTAGGCCAATTTGCATTACCAGCAGCAATGGATGAGATCCGAGGAAGGAGGACAAATAATAAAAAGAAAATCTAAGTATATTACAAATTTACAAAGCTATCTCCATAAAGGGAATAAGAGAATGGATGCTGGAAACGAAGCAAAAAGAATGCATATAAGACTGTATGCTGGCTGATGATGATGGTTACTATGAGGGCATAGGATGACAGTCTCGATACTGTTATATATGTACAATGAAACAGAAGAAGAAGTGAATGATTTGTGGGAGCTGTAGGCCAGATTTATCTCTGTTAAATGGGTATTTGGAAATAAGAAAGACAGGAAGCTGGAATGATCGATGTGGTAATAGAGTAACATTGACATTAGTATGAACTCAGTTTACCTTAAGATAGATAAAGATGGCTACAGACACACATATCTATAGGTGTATAGCAGGTTTATAACAATGTTTCAGCCAATAATTTGGCATAAATTAATGAGGAAAAAATCTCATATTTATTTCTTTTGATTTAGTTCTCCCCAAGTTTGAGTGGGTTTTCTCTTACTATTTCAATTTTTCTTCTACGCCTCAAAGATGGGCATAATTGTCCCAATAAGAGCAAGTGTGGGTGTTTCACTGTGCCCTGGCACGGGGTGGTATTTCCTTTCCTGCTTTAGGCTCTGAATGTTCAGGATAGATCTAGTCACCCTTAACCCTGAACTGGAATAAGCAGGTTGGGAAATATATGGGGTACAAATTGTTTACTGTTAGAACTACTTTTAGTTCTAATTTCGAAGTGATTTTTTTATGACCAGGAATATGCTTCAGAAAACTTACTTTTGTTTATATCAACTAAGCTATGGTAAAATTGGGGTTGATACATATTGTTTTGCTTATAGTTCCAAATTCCAAGAACTTATCAGTGATATTGCATGAGGAGTTATAGTATATTCATTAACTAGTATGCAAACATATGTCTTTGTCAACTGAGAGGACCTTAGAGGAATGACATCCCACTAGCAACAAGCACATCTGGCACATAGGTCATACCTTCTAGTACAATTCCCTGGTAAAAGGAATGAAGGTTTCTTGGGAAAATGACAAAGCTATGCTGGGGCAGGGAATAAACAAGAGCCTGGAGCATCTTGCAGTGAAACAAAGTAAAGAAGTACTCGAGGGCTCTCAAAGAGCCATGGAGACAGCTAAAAATGTTCCCAGTGACCAAAATAGAGCAACAAAGTCAGTAATATTGATTAGGGAATAATGCATGAATTAAATGTCCACATGGTTAAACTGATAAATGATGGAATTAATTAAAAATAGTGAAGAGATGAATTTCTCATGCAGAAGAATTCCAAACAAGTGGAGATGCACTGACTTTAAGGGACAGCAAAACCACTCAGGGTGAGGAGAGAATACCTACAGTGGAGCAACCAGAGATAATGTCAGCATGAACATTAATAAATCAGATAGTATACCTTGGTACAGTGGGCCAAAAAGAAATTGAAATCTTCCTCTCCCACACCTATTACCCCAGCATATTAATGACAAAACCATCAAATTCCAGCATTACAGACATACTGCTGTGAAAAGGGATCTTTCGGCTGCCAGGATGGCCAAAGTCTGTGCCCGAGACTCCATCTTCCTGGACCTTTAACTTAGAAACAATCTATTTATTGACTGGCAAGAAGTCATTTATAGCAGGCACCCATTTACAGCTAGATACAACCTTTTCTAGAACTGTGAAAAGATAATTTGTTCTTTTTCTTCCCTCTATTGGTAAAGACCAGCTTGACCAAGTGTGTGAATGCTAAGGAATGTAACCTGTCACTAACGCTAATGTTTGGTAATTACCTA